GAATACATCGTTAAACGAGGCAATCGCTAAGCGAGGCACCACTGTATATGGTTTTCCAGTGTATATTTACCAGAATGGGCCACTAGAGGGAATGAGAGACAATGCAATGTATAGTGTTAGATATTTCAGTGTTTTTTTGGCCTCCCGGGGAGACTGGGCTTAGAACAGGCTTACCATAGGTCCACTGTATCTCTGAAGCAAGTATTATTTGCAAATAAAGACACATGTCACAGGAAACATTGGCCAAAATCCTGTTGCTTAGTATAGTAAATGGCAACAGACTGGTTCCACTCAATCAACATGGGTTTTGTGATTCAACTCAAGTTGGTCCGCATGGACCTACTCTGAGATTTATTTTAGTACAGTAACTTGTAATTAGATCACTTAAATCAATAAAAGTTAGAGAGGAGTTGACTCACTCAATCCCTAATAATTCAACAAGGCCTACTCTTAATGCAATTTACTATGCTAAGCAACAAGACTTGGGCCACTGTATTAAAGAGAGTATGCGTACAAGGACACCCACATTGAAGAACAGACCAGGAAACCTCTTTATACTGAAATGGACAAAATGGAGACCTCATATGTATATCTACACACACATCCTTCATGAAGCACCACCAATGCCAAGAGACAATACATCCATAGAAGCAGAATAGGGATGACAGATGCTTATGCACACGTGACTGAAATTAAAAATGATGATTTGAAAGATTTCAGTTCAAGTGATGCATTTGCCTGTATAATCCTTTCCCAGTTTTTTAAAATTCTTTTTCTTTAAAAAAAAAGAAAGAAGGTTGGTTTAAAAAAAAGCAGAGCTGGGCAATACTGCCCCCTCATATGTGTTTAGACTGGAATTCCCTAGAGTTGGCAGTCCAAAACCATCTGGAAGGCCACCTTTTGACTACTTTGCTATACAGTATTTACCTCGACTTACGAACTTAATCTGTATTTGAATGGCGTTCGTACATCGAAAAGTTTGTAAGTTGAGGCAAGATTTCCCATAGGAATGCATTGAAAACGATTTAATCCATTCAGGATGGTTTTCGTTCGTATGTCGAGGCGCTGTTCATAAGTAGAGGCATTAGTTCCCATAGGAACTAATGCAAAGTCGGTTACTCCTTACTCTACCACTAGGGGGAGAATTTTTTAAATTTTTCTTCTTCTTTTGACCTAAAATAAACTTAGGTAAAAAAAAAAGGGCAGGGAAGGTTTCTTTTGTTCACAAGTCGAGGCTCTGTTCGCAAGTCGAAGCAACACTTTGCGAATGGAGCCATTCGTAACTCGAAACAAGTGCAAGTGGAGACGTTTGTAAGTCAAGGTATCACTGTAAATGGTTCTTGACAAACACAGTTGGTATATTTTAAAGGATTTATACTTCACACTTCAATAAGACCCTGGTGGCTGCTTAAGAACATGCCTTTTATTATTTATCCAAGTACTGCATATCTAGCTATTTATTTATTTATTTAATTTATATGCCGCCCACACTACCCAAAGGTGATGGTTATGTTCCCAGAAAAATGTGCGAATGAAGCCAGTGTACAACGAGGATTAAAAACACAGCTTGTTTATCGTTACCTGAACAAGCAGTGTTATCGGTTAAGAGTCAGTCTGATGGAGTTTTTAACAACACGAATACTGCTGGTTGGAACAGGAGATGATGAATCTGGCAGTTCTTTACTGGGAAGACGCTAAAAAATTTAAAAAGGAATTTAGATGAGTGAAACCAAGCATGTTGGCATAGGACAAATGTAAACCAAGATTCGTAACGCAAGAGCCAATAAAGACATCTGAAAGATGGGACAAAAATATGAATATACATATCTGCATGTTGTCAAAATATTTGGCATTTCAAAGTGTTTTTATGGGAAGAGACATGAAATAAAATCCAAATTAAGATGAGAGAGTTTAGACAACAGAAATGGTATGTGTGTTTTGCTCTGAAAGCAAAGATTGACAAACTACCTGTGCTCTTAGTGTGTCAGATGCATGAGCAGGCACAGCGCTTCCAAGACTTTGCTAAAGAGGAAAAAAACAGAGACAAAATCAGAAGAGTCTATTTAGCAATTCAAGGCAAGGAACAATAGATTCCCACCACAGATTGAGGAGCTTATACAGTCGTGCCCCGCTGGATGATTACCCTGCTCTCCGATGAATCCGCCTTACGTTGAGGTTTTTGCGATCGCTTTTGCGATTGCAAAACAATGTTTTAAATGGTTTTTTTCGCTGTGTGGTGATCGTTTTCCTGCTTCGGGAACCAATTTTTGCTTTATGACGATCAGCAAACAGCTGATCGTCGGGTTTCAAAATGGCTGCTGGCTGAAGAAAACAGCCACCCGCTGTTTTCTAGGACGGATTCCTCGCTTTACAGGCACAAAAAATGGCCGTCGTATGGAGGATCTTCACTGGACGAGCAGGTATTCAGCCCACTGGAATGCACTGAACAGTTTTCAATGCATTTCAATGGGGTTTTTTATTTCGTTTGACGTTTTCGCTCTACAGCAATTTCGCTGGAACAAATTAACATCGTCAAGCGAGGCACCACTGTACAACGATTCCTCCTCCCATGGGATGCTACCCAGATATGTCAAACAACAACCCTTATCACAATACACCTGGAGAAAGCGGCTATTTAAAAAATGCACCCCACGCTCCCTGAATGAAGTTTCAAACTTCCTCGGAACAATGCTGCTGCCAGATTGCTAACAGGATCACAGAACACCCTCATTCCAGCAGCTCCACTGGCTGCTGATCCGTTTCCAGGCAGGAATTCTACGTGCTAGTTTTGACCTGAACCACTTGGACCCAAGCTATCTCAAAGACCACGTCTCCCTTTATGGGCCTGCTTGAGAGAGTTAAGATCATCAGGAGAGGCCTTTCTCTCAGTCCCGCCACCCTCACAGGTTTGTTTGGCGGGGACACAGGAGAGAACCTTCTCTGTCGCTGTTCCCAGACTTTGGAACTCCCTCCCACTGGAAGCCAGGCTGGTAAAACAGCGATGGCATATCTTGGGTGAACCCTTCATCCCAACACATAGAAATGGTCACCAGGCTTCCCCAGAGAAACAGGGGTACAATGTGATCAAACTGGTGTTACTGGAATCAGCTGTGGAATCCAAAAGAAAAAAAAGGCAGAAGCTACACCTACTGTAGAATAATTGCTGGAGAGACCTCCAAGTTAGCCCGTGGACTCAAAATACGTCTCTACTGGAGGCTACAGCTGCAAGCCAAGCAGTCTATCAATCAAGCATCTCTCTATGGGAAAGCCAGATAGGGCACCAATACTAAGAAGGCTATGCCAGGTAACAAGCCACTACAGTGGTGCCCCGCATAGCAACGTTAATCCGTTCCAGGATTAACGTCGCTATCTGGAAGCCTCGCTTTGTGGGGGAAAAAAACCCATAGGAACGCATTAAACTCCGTTTAATGCGTTCCTATTGGGGAAAAACTCACCGCTATGCGGGGAATCCTCCATCCGGCCGCCATTTTCGCTGCCTGCTAAGCGAGGGCAGGGCGCGAAAACGCTGCGGGCGGCCATTTTGGAACCGCCGATCAACTGTTTAAAAAACATCCCAATGCGATAATCAGTAAGCGAAATGCTTACCGCGATAATCGGTAAGCAAAACACTAACTGATCATTACAATGCGATGTTTAGCCACCTAAAACATCGCAATGCGATCGCATTAGCGATCACAAAAAACACGTCGCTTAGCGGATTCGTCGTTAAACGGTGCGCTTGTTATGCGAGGCACCATTGTACATCATTGTAATGTTGTCCCTTTTTCAGCGCTGTGAGATACTTACCTTTTCTGTATCTCTCAGCCGCTTAAGACACTCTCCCGAGGCAGGTGAGTGGAGTCTTTTTTGCACAGAACTGTTTTTAACGCTTACTGAAGCTGTTTCATCGGGTAGCGGATTCGTCGTTAAACGGTGCGCTTGTTATGCGAGGCACCATTGTACATCATTGTAATGTTGTCCCTTTTTCAGCGCTGTGAGATACTTACCTTTTCTGTATCTCTCAGCCGCTTAAGACACTCTCCCGAGGCAGGTGAGTGGAGTCTTTTTTGCACAGAACTGTTTTTAACGCTTACTGAAGCTGTTTCATCGGGATTCTTCTGGGAATGGGTGGAGCTGAACAAAGTAACCGCATCGATTGTGTTTTGCTGAGTGGCCACCGAGAGGCTCAGAGGTGTTATGCTGGCCACCGCCGCCGCAGAGTCCACCTCTGCAGAAAGCCAGAAAAGCGTTATCTTTTTTTATTTTTCCAAACCAGCAAGGGAGAATTCCGAGCAACGTGCAAATTTTATACTTACGCGAACCAACGGGTGGGATGGCAGGCTTTGAAAGCGGAAAGGCATTTAGTGGCCTCTCTCGACTTGGGAGGCTCGGAGTCTTTTGAAGGACAGTGCCCCTGTGAAAAGCAGCACAGAATTAAAAAACAGATTTTACAAGCACTTCTCTTTGCTAATGTAGAAGACTTACAAGAGAACTGCAAAACACTCATGGCTAGTGGAAAACAAAAGTAAAGATTTTAGGTGGTGAAATTTGAGGTTGTAACTAGAGATGAGCTAGTTCGGTGGTTTGTGTTGGTTCGTGTTTTTTAGCCAAACAAGTGATTGGTGCTTCCCAGCCCCACCTCCTCTGATGAGCGCCCACTCAGGCAGCACCTGGAGGAGGCAGGACAGGAAAGCCAGCCAGAGTCTGGCCTCTGAAGGAGCATCCACCGGAAGAGGCAGGGCTGAGAAGCGTCAACCATCAGTTCGGCCAAAAGCCAAACTGGCACAAACTGCCGAACCAGGAGTTCATGCCCATCTCTTGTCATAACCAATACACACTATGAACAGAACCGAGATGGTATGGATGCTTTGCCAACTGGTGTAATAATGAGAGTATCGGCCTAGGTTCCGCTTGACTTTTTGTTCAGTCCTGTCCAACTCTAGGGCGCGGGGTGCTCATCCCCGTTTCCAAGCTGTAGAGCCAGCGTTTGTCCGAAGACAGTTTCCCGTGGTCACGTGGCCAGCGCGACTAGACACGGAAGGCAGTGACCTTGCCACTGAGGTGGTACTTATTTATCTACTCGCATTTTTACATGCTTTCAAACTGTTAGGTTGGCAGGAGCTGGGACAAAGTGATAGGAGCTCACTTCCGTTGCGTGGATTCGATCTTACGATGGCTGGTCTTCTGACCTTGCAGCACAGAGGCTTCTGCAGTTTAACCTACAGCACCGCTATGTCCCTACAGGTGTCGGCCTGATGGAGTGGGGAAAAAAAAAAGGGAAGGCAGTGTTCTGTGGGACGTGATCTGTGTTCTCTGTAGCATGAAAGATGGCACCTGGATCAAAAGGGAAGTTCCTCAGTTGCTGGAAGATTGGTAGTTTGAATGGTGTGGACAAACGAAAAGTTGGCAGGAGGATGAAGGCAAGAGTAGTTTTGTATATAAGAGAGAATCTTCATCATTTTGAACCAGTTTTTTCTTTTATTTTTCTGGAGAGAGTTGAGTAGTTTAGGCCCATGTTCTTTGCTGTCACCTTGCCATGTCTGGTAATGGCGATGAATGGCTTGTTCTGTTTTCGAACAGAAAAGACGTTCTCCACCAAACAGGAGGACTTCATTGCGCAATCTTGCATCTTCAGACACTACTGCAGTCCACATCCAAGAAAGACAGCTCAGGACCACAGTGGTTGACACCAGCTTTAAGGTGCAAAGATCTGCAAAGATCTGGTGTTACGGATTTGCTGGTCCATCAAGCAATCAGCCTTGGCTGTTCTTTCAATATGCAAAGTAACAGCAGTTACAGCTTTTCCTGAATGATAAGCAGCTACACATGCTTGATAGTTGTGCCCACAAACTTCCACAGCTGGACAGAAGCAAAGTCAGTAACTGTATTCTCGAAGGCTTTCACAGCCAGGATCTGATGGTTGTTGTGGGTTTTTTCTTTGGCCGTGTTCTGAAGGTTGTTCTTCCTGACGTTTCGCCAGGATAGTATCCAACAAACAGCAACAGAACATGGACAGAGTTCCTACTCCAGTCCTCTGGAGATGCTGGCCACAGAGACTGGTGAAAAGAACAACCTGCAGAACACGGCCAAAGAGCCTGAAAAACCCACAACAACCATCAAAGTCAGTAACTGATCAAATTCAATGTTCTCCTCTCTTGGTTGGGAGGGAAGGAATGAGCTTCCTCCTGGCGGTTCTTTTATGATGCCTCCACCGTAATTGAAAACTAGGATCTGGATGCTGTGCGAGGTTGCTCCTTCCTCCTAAATTTGGTGTAGGTTTTCTAACCACCTTGATGTTGGTGGCGCAGAACGAAGCATGGATTAGGATTGCTCTATAAGAATCTAAAGGAAGCAAAAAAAATATTCTACCTATGTTGGTAGTTCCAAGGGTCATAGTTTCAGTATTTTCTGTGAACTGGGAGGAGTATCAATCGAAGAGTGACAATCTGCACAGCCACAGACATTTGGTTTTTTGGTAACAAAATAAGAGAGATCTACTAAGAGAAGGGATGTGGTGGCGCTGTGGGTTAAACCGCTGAAATCTCTGTGCTGCAAGGTCAGAAGACCAGCAGTCGTAAGATCGAATCCATGTGATGGAGTGAGCTCCCATCGCTTGTCTCAGCTCCCGCCAACCTAGCGGTTTGAAAGCATGTAAAATGCAAGTAGATAAATAGGGACCGCCTCGGTGGGAAGGTAACAGCGTTCCGTGTCTAAGTCGCACTGGCCATGTGACCACGGAAGATTGTCTTCGGACAAACGCTGGCTCTATGGCTTGGAAACGGGGATGAGCACCACCACCTAGAGATGGACACGACGGGATAAAATTGTCTAGGGGAACCTTTAACTTTACTAAGAGAAGTATGGTGATTGCTGTGACAATATTGGATGGAAGAGACATGGCAGTACAAACGATCAAACTCAAAGTTCGCTACTGATACCGAGATAATGCCTTTGAAGTGGCTCAATATAGTCAAGTTCTGTGTCAGTGCAGAGAAAAGAGCAGGGCGACAGAGAGCAACGCGGCTCACAGCACTGAGGGAGCGGTGGAAGCGAGCAACAGAGATTTCTAGCATGGATTCAGTCTCTGTAATCTTGGATACTACTGATACCGAGATAATGCCTTTGAGGTGGCTCAGTATAGTCAAGTTCTGTACTCGTGCAGAGAAAAGAGAGCAGGACGACAGAGAGCAACGGGGCCCACGGCACTGAGGGGCAGCGCGCATGTGGGAGCGAGCAACAGAGATTTCTAGCATGGATTCAATCTCTCTTTATAATCTTGGATTTCACCCTCTGAACGAGAAGCCGTGAAGAAAACCTCAACAGAAGAGCGGCCTGTGCTTGGCTAATTGGCAGGCTCCATTGGGACGGCCATGAACGGTGGGAGCCAAATCTCCGGAGAAATGCATCATACGTTCTTTTTCGACAACAAGTCCCAGAATTTTTCATTCTCAGACTCCCGCTTGACAGATTACCTGCAGACATCGAAATGTGGCTCACCTGGGAGAAAGGCCTAAACTCCTTGCAAGCCACAGTGTAGCTTCCTTTCTAACAGGAAGCCAGGCAGTTACTTCCTGTGCTAGGCCTCAAAGCCTCTCCCTGAGACCTTTTCCCTCAGGTGAGCCACATTTAGATGTCTTGTAGATATCTATCTGTCAGGCCAGATTCCCAGAATGGAGAACTCTGGGATTTGTAGTACAGTGGTGCCTCGCTTAGCGATGTTAATCCGTGCAATATTAAGCAATATTAAAAAACCCATAGAAACACATTAAAACCTGATTAATGCGTTCCTATGGGCTAAAAAAGCGAAGATCCTCCATGGGGCGGCCATTTTCGGTGCCTCTAAAGCAGTGGTTCTTAACCTTTGTTACTCGGATGTTTTTGAACTGCAACTCCCAGAAACCCCAGCCAGCACAGTTGGTGGTGAAGGCTTCTGGGCGTTGCAGTCCAAAACTCCTGAGTAACCCAAGGTTAAGAACCAGTGCTCTAAAGTGAGGCAAAACAGCAGCTGTGCGAAAAAGGTGGCTTTGCGATGATCGCTTCCCCGCGATCGTTGCAAAGCGAAATTTCCCCATAGGGACCATCGCAAAGCGATCGCTCTTCCAATGGCAAAAAGTCCATCGCAAAGCGATTTCATCGCTATACGGAGCTATCGCTATGCAAGGCACCACTATACAATTACAAGCTCATCTCTAAAATCTAATATCAAAGAAATCCAGAGCTAGACTAGCTATGTCTTATCTTCCGTTCTACTATCAGCAGTACTCTTATAAAAATGGGAGGCAGAGTAAAACAGATCACACGAGAGTGTCCAGGGACAGTCCTCTTGCATGCCAGGAGAATAAAATGAACCTGAAGACTATATTATTTCATCTGTATTCTGTTCCTATCTCTGCATTTAAAATTGCTAGAGATGTGTGGAACAGAGTCACAGCACAACAGCAGTCAGTGCGGTGTTGTGGTTAGTGTGCTAGGCAAATCATCTAGAAACCTGGATTCAAATCCTACTTAGCCATGAAACATAACTGGGTAACCTCGGGCTATTTGTTATCTCAGCCTGACCCGCCTCGCAGTGTTGCTGTGATGATCAAATGGGGCGAGAAACAGCCATGAGCGCCACCTTGAGTACATCGGATGAAAGCATGAATATAAATGCATCAAGCAAACCAAGCCACTTCTACAGCAAGGAGTCCGCCTCAAGGAAATACCATCAGAGAATGGTTGAGTTGGAAGAGGTCTGTAAGATCATTGAGTGCAACCCCATGCTCAGTGCAGGAATCCACATCAAGGTAGATCCGGCAGAGGGTTGCACCATTTTCTCTTGCATGCCTCCAGTGTTGGAGCGCTCACCACCTCCCGAGAACGTGGGTTCCATTGTCGTACTGCTCAAACAGTTAAGACATTTTTCCTGATATCCAGCCTAAATCTGGCTTCCTGTGACTTGAGCCTATTTTTATACGTCCTGCACTCAGGGATGATCGAGTAATCCTGCCCCACCTCTGTATGACTACCTTCCAAGTATTTGAAAAATGCTATCCTCGGTCTTGTCTTCTCAAGGCTAAACATGCCCAGTTCTTCCAGTCTTTTCTCATAACCCCTGGTTTTCCGTTCCCTGATCATCCTTGTCGCCCTTCTCTGAACTTGCCCTGGTTTGTTGGCATCCTTCTTAAACCGTGGTGTCCAGAACTGGAGCCTGGTTTTCTGTTCCCTGTCGCCGTTCTCTGAACTTGCCCCGGTTTGTTGGCATCCTTCTTAAACCATGGTGTCCAGAACTGGACACAGTACTCTAGATGAGGCCTAATCAGTGCAAAATAAAGAACCAGTACCTCATGGGATTTGGAGACTATACTTCTGCCAGTGCATTCTAAAAGAGCATTTGCCTTTTTTGCAGCAACACCATCCCCTTGGCTCATATTCAGATTTAGATCTACAACAATTCCAAGCTCCTTCTCACTCGTAGTATTACTGACCCAAGTATCTCCCATCTTGTAACTATGCATTTGGCCCTCTCCCCCAGATGTAGAACTTTGATCTTATCGACGCAACAATGGACTCATGTTACAGGAAGGCAGACTTTGGTTGAATATTAGGAAAAACTTCCTAACTGTTAGAGCAGTACGACACTGAAACCAATGACCTTGAGAGGTAGTGAGTGCTCCAACACTGGAGGCATTCAAGAGAATGCCTCCAGTGTCAGATCTGCAGGAGGTTGGACTTGATGGCCTTATAGGGCCCCTTCCAACTTCACTATTCTATGGAATTTCATTCAGGCCAGTACCCAAGCTTATCAAGATCTTGTTAAATTTTGTTCTTTACATCATTCCCTCTTATTAAATAACAAGATTCGGAATCAGTGAACCTACATAAATGAATGGCACAGTCTTCAAATGGTTTGCAAAGAGACAGCTGTGCAAATCTGTTTTGGCAAGTGTAACCAAAAACAAAACTAAAACAAAGCCAAAGTATTGTATTTAATTAATTAATTAAAATATGTTTACTCCACCTTTCTCCTTAGAACGGACCCAAGGCGGCTTATATTCTTAAAGCACCTTAAAGCCTACTAGATTTTAGCGTGACCCTTTTCTAGATTACAGTCCACTTCTGCAATCATATGAGATGAGATTTTAGACAAAGGTTCATATATATAAGTATATCCCATATAGTGGGGACCCAAGGAACACAGAAAATAAGTCTTTCTTCAAAACGGAAAGGGAACCTCTTCTATCTAGGAAATTAAAGTTCTCGAGTCATAGAAAAGTAGTTGGAAGCTTCCAAAACAGAATCACTAAGAAGTCCAAAAACGCTCACCTTTCCGTTTCTTTTGAAACAGAACTACTGCCGCATTTTTCCGAACCACTGGATGAAGAAACGGCTTTACTCTCTGTCGCCATATCTGCATTCCTGTAGACGTCCAAGGAATCATTCTCCAACGATGACCTTTTCAACACAAGCCCGCAAGTCTGTCGGCCAACATCCGGCATGCTCTGTTGAGACAAGTTTGGCTTAAATCCAGAATGGCAAGCAACGGCTTAAGTCCGACAACTGGTTCCCTAGCACAGACCCATTGAATCAGCAGGATTTCCCTAAGTGGTGAGCTATCCACCATTCAGCAACTAATTGAGTGATTGACAGCAGGTAGGACCAGCAAAGTTAATCGTTGTTTCTTAACATAAGCAAGCCAGAATTCAGATATACCTTTTTCCTCCTCTGTAAGACGTTGGCAGGCAAGTAATTGTGCAGCTGTTTCTTTTTCACGTGAGTAGCTTCGATCTTCATGCCCTCTTTCAACATGTTGATGTTATTGGCTTGTCTGTAAACTAAGTCCGAAAGTGACAAGAATCAAGCCACATGATTCAAGCAAAACTGTCCAGCAGAAACTGCACTCAAGCAAGTTTGTACAGAGATCATTAGGGTGACTGTAAACCTTCCAGAGGAAGAATGGAACCACTTGAGAGATTTAGCTCCCTGTACATAACGCCAAATTGATGCCTTTGAATTGTGGTGCTGGTCACTTGAGAGATTTAGCTCCCTATACATAACGCCGCGAGAGAGTAGGACAAATCTGAGAGAAGAGGGAAAACTGTCTTTTGCACTGCCCAGTACTTCTATAATTAGAATGATAAGGAGCAGAGATGGGGTTAATCGTATCCCCACACAGGTGGAGACAACGAGGGTCCAGCCACATGAGGCCAGACAGTCCACTCGGTAAAGGTAAAGGTTCCCCTTGACAATTTTTGTCCAGTCGTGTTTGACTCTAGGGGGCGGTGCTCATCCCCGTTTCCAAGCCATAGAGCCAGCGTTTGTCCAAAGACAATCTTCCGTGGTCACATGGCCAGTGCGACTTAGACACGGAACGCTGTTTGCTCTGGTCCATGGGGTCACGAAGAGTCGGACTAAATGACGACGACATAATGCCGCGGAGAGTAGGACAAATCTGAGAGAAGATGGAAAACTGTCTTTTGCACTGCCCGGTACTTCTATAATTAGGATAAGGAGCAGAGATGGGGTTAATCGTATATGAATATCCCCACACAGGTGGAGATAATGAGGGTCCAGCCCCATGGGGCCAGACAGTCCACTCACCCATCCGCTAATGCCATGTGGGGTCCACACTTCCGTCCTCTCGTTCCGGTGATCATGATCGCCGACAAGCGATCACCGGGACAAGCCTCTTCTGCCAGGTCAAAGAGTGGTTTGCCGATCGCAATCTCCGGAGCGAGAGGACGGGAGAGTGGCCCCCATGCGGCATTAGTGGATCAGTGAGGGGGCCAGCACAAATATCTTTATTTATTTAAAACACTTTTACTTCATCTTTCTCCTCAAAAGGACCCAAATATCTCTGCCCAGTTGTGGCAGGACTTTAAAAGAGCCATGCATTAACAAATGGCCGCAAACCTCAATGAACTGAAGCAACGTTGTAAAGAAAAGTGGGCCAAAATTCCTCCACAACAAAGTAAGAGACTAATAAACTCATACACAAAACGATTACTTCAAGGTATTGCAGCTAAAGGTAGGTTCTACAAGCTACCGAATCATAAAGCGTACTTAGTTTCTCACACATGGCTTCTCCGTTACCTAAGAGCCTCGTGGCACAGTGGTTAAACGGCTGTACTGCAGCCACAACTGTGCTTACGACCCGGGGTTCAATCCCAGGTAGCCGGCTCAAGGTTCACTCAGCCTTCCATCCTTCCAAGGCTGGTAAAATGAGTACCTAGCAATGTGTAACCTGCAAGATTAACTTGTAAACCACCCAGAGTGCTTGAAGTGCTATGGGGCGATATATAAGCAACATGCTTTTAATTTTCAGACCCGTTAAGGACCAGATGACTTTTATTATGTCCTGAATTTTCAGACCCGCATAGGACCAGATGACCTTTATTATGTCCTGAGACATAAAACCACGTAAGTCAAAGAGGGCGTGCTTTCTTTTTCACATGACTATAAATAGGTATTTCTGGGTGACTGGTATTTCAGCCAGCAGATAACTGAATCAGCAAATACTGATCCTGCAGATGGGGTGGGGTGGGTCCTTCTGTGCTCCAAAATATTCAGAGAGCACACTCCCCTGTAAAGAAAAACAAATCCAGGCACATTTGCCTATAAAGCAAGGGAAACAGTACAGATGGCACTGATTGGATGTTTTTATGGGCAAAGGATGATTCACTATAATAAGAATTCAGATCAACACATTCCTCGAAGCAGCGTTAAAGGTATGCGTGTGTTTGGTTTTTTTTAATTAACAAGTTGCCAGGGTGTTTTATTATAAATGATGCAGATCAGAAGAATAAATTGAGCACAGTGGGTTGTGCTTTATTTTCAGCATGACCAAGCAACTCTTCCCGGTCTTTTGTGAGACTTAACGCATTGACAGCCGAGGGCTCATCAACTTCAACATTTGATCCGGGCGCATCAGGAGAGGTCAGCCAAGTGCCAGTGAGACTTGGAAATTCCACTTTTAACGCTGGCACGACTTCACCTGAAGTAACCCCCTCCCCAGCCCTCCCCCTTTAGAAAGCAAATAAACATGCCACTTTTTATGTATCAGGGCATTTAGAAGAGGATTTCCAAGCGGACGATTTACCCGCATCTGTGAATGACTGGATGTCGTAGGTCAAGTCAATGCTCACGCTCTCGGCGTTCTCCATTTTCTTAAAAATTATTCCCAGAAACCACATTGACGTGTAGTCACTTCTGGGGAGTAAATCACAGGACAGCATATTAACTAAATGCACGGATTAGACAGTGTCACAGAAAAGGGGTTCAGCTTAAGGGAACGTTTGGTTTACTGGGTTGTTTGGTTTACTAGGTCATCCAATAATGGGCTCAAGCTACAGGAAGCCAGATTCCAACTGAATTATCAGGAAATAAACTTCTCAACTGTTAGAGCAGTACAAGAATGGAACCAAGGACCTCAGGAGATGCTGAGCGTTCCAACGTTGGAGTCGTTCAAGAGAAAACTGGATAACCTTCTGTCCAATCTGCTTTGATATGGATTCCTGGTTTGAGCTGGGGGTTGGACTTGATAGCCTCACAGGTACCTACCCGGTTTAATTATTCTATGATTCTACGTCTTGAACCTAATGCTGACAGCTGGCTGGATCGCTCAGTGAGCTACCGTATTTTTCCATGTATAAGATGGCCCCCACTTTTCTAATCTAAAATTAAGAAATCTAAGTGAGGCTTAGCAAGTGCAGGGGGAAAGGGATCAAAGCGCTGCAGGATCGCTTTGATCCCTGCTTTTCCCTCCACTTGCTTTTGTTCTCTCCTCAGCTTACTTCCATGTATAGGATGACCCTCAATTTTTAGTTTAAAGATTTTAGACAAAAGTAAAGTCTTATACACTGAAAAATATGGTAGTTATTTCACCGCAGAGCCAGACATTGGGAGTTCAATTTCCCATTGTGCATCTGAAAAAGAGCCAGCCTGCATAGCCTTGGGTAAGTTGCACAGTCCCAGGGCACCCTTCCAGAAAAAGGGAATGGTAAACAGCTTCTGAGTAATCCTCTCTCTAAGAAAACCCTGCAAAGGGTCACCAAAAGTCAGAACTTACTTAATAGCACACAATCACTGTTTTGATGGTTATGCTCGCTTTCTTGGCAGGGCAGACCAAAATTTTAGACACACTGTTTACTAAAGGGAAAAGCTACTGACTGCCAGGGAATCGTAGTATTCCCCACTCACCCACCCTTGTTATCCTAACACATGGGTGGGCACCAACTTGCCAGCAGGTGCCCACCGCCCTCGCCCTTCCTTGGTGTTCTCCACTGGCCCAATCCTGCTGTCATTAAAAAAAAAATTCTTCCAAAAAGGAGAATTTCCAGCATGCCCAGTTCTGGACATTTCCAGATAGGACGATCACAGTAAGTAGGAAGGATAAATTCTGGTCATTTCTTTTTGTCTTGGGAAAAAAAGCCAGAATAAAATTCTATTGAAACATGCCTTTTGACAGGTCTTCAGTAGGAGGGAGACAGATAAAGAAAGCTGGTGTGTAGGCAGGAGAGCAGAGAGAGCAAAACGCGCAGGTAGGTAAAGTCAAGGGGTGTTTTTCCCACCTGCTGATCCCTTTCCTGCCGATCTGGTCTCTCATGCATTCAACTCTTTGAAGAAACATGAATTCAACAATATAAAAAGAATATCTAAAGATAAAGGTTCCCCTTGACATTTAGTCCAGTCGTGTCCAAATCTAGGGTGAGGTCCTCATCCCCGTTTCCAAGCCATAGAGCCAGCGTTTGTCTGAAGACAGTTTCCATGGTCCGCGCGACTAGACACGGAACGCCGTGACCTTCCCACCGAGGTGGTACCTATTTATCGACTCGCATTTTTACATGCTTTCGAACGGCTAGGTTGGGAGGAGCTGGGACAAGCGACCGGAGCTCACTCCATCGCGTGGATTCGATCTTACGACTGCTGATCTTCCGACCTTGCAGCACAGAGGCTTCAGAGGTTTAACCCGCAGCGCCATGATGTCCCTGGTAGCATATCTACTACGCCGTAATACCAGCCATTGTAGATCTTTAACGTCTTGCTACAGCATGCAAGACCTTCTGTTTCTTCAGCAAGAGAGTAACAAAGCTATCCTCCCTTACTGGAAAGAGTTACCCTAACATCGCATCATTTCGATGAGTGACGAGTATAAGAAATCCATGGGTTATTAACTCACTCTTTGCATTGAGCCCCAGTCCCGGGAAAGGATTGTGGATTGACATGTGCGATGGTAATAAATTCGTTCCGTTCCAAGTTTCCAACCAACACACGGATTTTAGATTCTACCAGACCAACCCTTATGAAAACAAAATAAAGGGTCCGTTAAGATTTTTTCTGAATTCCGGCAAACAGCCTATGTGCCCAACCGGTGGGACACAAGACCTACAAGGAGAACAAGTGTGATTTGGATTGCAAGCCTGCATTTCATTTATTCTTTATTCCAGCACCTATACGGCAACCTTGTACAGCAAATCATACTCATGGAATTTTTTAAATTTCTTTTAAGTATTAAACATAAGCAAATCACAATTAGAAAAGATCACAGCAGCAAAATAAAGAGCTTAAACAAATACAGTAAAGAGTTATTACAGATGCAAGACCTTAGGAAAAAAATCTTCTGGAATAAAACAGTTGTTAAGAGTGAAGATTTTGCACCCACCTCACCATGGAAGGAGGAGAGAGAAAAACCTTACAACCCATCTCAGTGTTTAATAGTCCTAATGAGATTTTGCAGCAGTTCTAGCTCTGAATCCAATACATTGCAGAAGCAACATCTAAGAACAGAAGTGGGGAAGGGAAATCCTGCCTCTTTTCGCAGTCCCACAGGCATTTACCCCACCCTTCCTTGCCTCCAAAGCACTCAGGTTAGAGGGTTAGTTTGGAAGCTTATTTGCCCGCAGTAACTTCGGGCAGTTACACTGGCATCTTCCACAGCAGCCGGCTTTTGCACCAGCAAGCTCTTCAGAGAGCTTTCCATTTTTCTAATACAGGGTTTAAACATTTTAGGTCCCCTAGATCAGCGGTCCCCAAAGGAAGGAGGGGTGGGGGAGGCGTTCAGTGAGGGAGGAAAGACAAAGAGAATAACATTTTTGCCAGTACAAAATAAATGGGAAAGACGTTTGCCCAAAGAGGAAAAGTACCTTTTTGATTCCCATTTCATATACAGGTGGACCCCCATATCCACAGAAGATTGGTTCCGAAACCCACCCCACCCCGTGGATGCTGAAAAACGTGGATTATACCAAACATTATACATAGCATGGTCTCTGGCTCTCTCTAGTGGCCAGTTCGGGTAACCTCGTCGTTAAAAATCTATTTATCCCTATATAAATATTTATACAATTTTTCTTTTCATATTTTTAGTATCTCTGGTCTCTGTATTTTGTGGTCTCTGGCTCCCTCTAGTGGCCAGTTCTGGAAACATTATTTAAAAACCCATTTCTAGGCTTTTTCATTTCATATTTTTAGTATTTTCAGACCATGGAGAAGGGAATAAGAGGATACTGAACTCGCGGATAAAGGAGCCCTACTGTAATCTACATAAGTGATATAAACGACATAACTGACATAATTGAGTACATGGATGCTTCTGTTTTGCCCAGTAAAAAGGCTGCTGAATTAACACCCTTGTAGAAGGCAGACAGCTTAAAAAGATAACAGAGGCATTTTACCAAAGCTAAACAGGTAAGGATCTAAACCAAGATCGAATAACTACTGGTTCTATTATCTTAGAGGGGTGCCTGTTACTCCCAACTTCACCCTACTTTTTTAACATAAAAAGGTTCTCAAACCCTCTGGTGTCCTTAGAAGACAATTTAACTATGTCACCCTTCATGTCACTTTTTTTTCTGGAAAAGAGGGCCAGGAGGAGTTAAACCATCATGATACACCTCATGCCCGCTAGACTGGGGATGGGGGGAGAAACCCTATGCAACTCATCCCAACCTGGACAATGTCTGGAGGGGAAGACTGTCTAAGAACTGTTCTGTACACCATCCCAAATTCCACAGTGGAAGCAAACTGTAATATTCATGTAGTTAAAGACAGTGGATTCAGTATCAGAGCTCAGCATACTTAGGATAAATAAAAAGGCACCAGCTCAAAGAGAAGTCTAAACCCTCTGGAGTGACTGAAAACTCAAGCTGTCATCTGGAAACCACTAACGAATATTGAAACCAAAAGATACATGCAGCTACCAGAAGGGATGCAAGCTTTCTTTAGATATTTGTGCAAAATATTCAAGTGATAATGCAAGACAACAAAGCTTAGATTTGTTTCAAATTGGGCAGGAATGACCTGCACAAGAAGACAGACATCAGCTTCCATTACTTTTTTTTTAAAGCTTCTAACTCTCCAGACTGCAAATATATGATAGCTATGATATGTCTAGCGCTTGTCATGCTTCTCCCAGCAGGAGCAGGGCTGGGTATATGATGAGTTATAATGAATTATAGCCAAGACATAATGCCTTTAAGTTGAACAACAAAGTGAGAATACAAGAAATTAAGAGATATCACCCTGATCTCTTGATTGTTCCTTGCTTATGAGGAAGACACTTCATTAAACAGAGCACTTGAATACAGGCTACCCATCAGCATCGGCAAGGAGCGGAAAAATCTTCCCAAAGAAAGAACTCTGAAGACGAATGAAGACAATATTCCAGTCTTCTTGCCCCCAACTGCATTAATAAACTAAAATGCTGCGATCAGATTTATATTCGTAATTTGGAAGGCTTACCATTCTAAGTGATGCTCTTCGGTGGACGAACTGGCAGTCAGTACGATGTAATGCCTGAAAAAAAATGCACATTGCTAGCATTTTATCAATTTTACAGTAAAAAGCTCTTCCCAAGATGCAAGCCAGCTTTAATGGCCCCTTAAATCCTCTTTCACACCCATGTCTTCCCAGCGCTCAGACGAAAGTCACTACAAAGTTACCTATATATGTCTGTTTTCCATCCATGAAGGTACAAGAGCTTTAACATCACTAACGGAACAAGGGAAAAATCCACTCCTTTTCCAGTGCAACCGTAACTTTCCAGTTACGTGCTCAGTTGCAGCTCCGTGGCCTTACGAAATGGCAAAGGAGGACTCTCGCATCGTTCACAAGGGAGAAGAATACCATCTGTGCATCTCTCCATTGGGCTCGGGTACACTGTCATTCACGATCACGTTCCTTAAACAGAGATTATGAAAACCCAGGTGCTTTTACGTACTTGTACTTTTGGAAAAAGTTGGGTGGTTCCAGCAGCTTTGGCCAGTCCGATTTTCCTTGGAATATCTCTTCTGCAACTGCAAGACCTGTTTTAACATCAGACCACAAAACAAAGAAACACTATACTGTAGTTTCAAATGCACGCTTTCCGAATGACTACAGAAAACCCAGGAAAAATAAACCAGCTTACCGTACTTCAATTCTTCTACCATGATTGCACGAGTGGAAGTGGACACATTATAGGTGGAGTTCTGCTGCGGATAAGCCGGTGTGATGATCGGCATCAAGTGGTATCGGTCCGAGGGATTTACCTGTGGCACAGGAAGGGCTGATTTCAACAGCATCACGAAGAAACAAAATTCGTCGCATCACAGCTACGAATTCTCTGGGTGTCCCAGAGCAAGGCAAACTCTCAAGTCATGGGTTCACAAACTTTGCAACCCAGTGATACGGGACTGCTTTACTAAGACTAGCCTACAGCAGGAGTGGGCACCAAGAGTATTCTCCTCCAGAGATGGCTAGGCTGCATCTCAAAACAGCTGCCAGCACAGCCAACGGGAAGGGTTTGTGATCCAGCAACATCTGAATGCTATATTTTGCTGACATCTGGTTTAAGTATCGCCAGCTGAGGCAGCGGAAATAACTTCATTTACAGTGGTGCCTCGCTTTACGATTGCCCCACATTACGATAAATCTGCTTTACGACGATCTTTTTGCGATCGCAAAATGATGGTCTAAATAGGGGAATTTCGCTTTGCGATGATCGGTTCCCTGCTTCGGGAAACGATTCTTCGCGAAATGATGATTTTTCAACAGCTGACAGGTGGTTTCAAAGTGGCCACCAGATAAATAAAATGGCTCCCCGCTGTGTTTAGGGACAAATTCCTCGCTATACAGGCAGCGAAAATGGCCGCCGTATGGAGGATCTTCGCTGGACAGTGAGTTTTAAGCCCACTGGAACGCATTGAAAGGTTTTCAATGTGTTTCAATGGGCTTTTTATTTTCGCTTTACGATGCTTTCGCTTAACGGCGATTTTCCTGGAACGGATTATCGTTAAACGAGGCACCACTGTACTTTGGAATTCATAGTTCTCTCTCCAGTCCCAGAACAGCTAGCAGTCCAAATGAAAAACAACCCAAAGAATAACATACAGGCATAAAGGTCAAGGCAACAACAATACCCCAAAACAAATCAAAGGGTGTATCTGAATTTTGTACTGCATCTCATCATGTTCCTTGCTCTGTTGAAGAGAGAAATCAAAGTGCAGCTTATATACTACCCTCATGGTGCTTAAAACATTTTCTGGGTGGTTTGCAATTTAATTATGCTGGACACATTGAGAACTCAATTTACCACCCGCAGATGGACAGAAGGCCGAGTCAACCTTGAGCCAGCTACCTGAACCCGCTGGGAACGAACTCAGGTTGTGAGCAGAGGCTTGACTGCAGTACTGCAGCTTAACCACTGTGCCAGCAAGGCTCCTAAAACACTCAATGTTAGGGACTGCAGAACCTTTTGCCCCCACGACGTGAATGAGCTCCTAAATGGAAATTATGCTTTTCTCCAGAACATGACGGCTCGCTCTACAAGGCACAGGTATCTCGGGCAGGTAGCAAGTCTGACGGAGCTGCAGCTGCTGCTAACACAGAACCAATGCCCCGACGGCTCAAGCCTGATATGGGTCAGTTCTCCTCTCCCACAGGGAAGGCTTGGCAGGCCTGAAATGAGCCTGCTGTCAAGAGAGGCAGGATTCTTCCAAAGTTATGCGCACTCTACGAACCCGGGGGTCCCAGATGGGCAAGTTGAGGTTGCTTTCTTCCGGTTCTTTGAGCAGGACAGGTTTGGGCCATTCCCTGCAAGAGAAAGACCCGTGACAGCAGCCAGCACTGAATGCGAAGCTTCCTGCTCCTCTCATTCTTTCCAGACGCGTTAACACTGATTGCTCCAGACATGAGTCAACCCACAAGACCTGCATCATCATGCACACAGGAAATCTGAGAAAGCGTGAACAGACATGTGCAGCAGGAGGATTATTTTACACCACAGAAATCTAAATTCTTAACAGCTTCCGCCCCCCCCCCCACACACACACACTTGGCCTCGTTCAGGTGGGCTGGCTAAGGACGATGGGATTTGGCCTCGCTCAAGTGAGCTGGCTAAGGACGATGGGAGTGTCTGTCCAATACTGCTGAACTGCCCTAGGTGGAGAAAGGATGCCTCAAAACAACATTTTAGGTAAACACAAAAAGCAAAACAAAAGTAAAAAAGCAAAAATAAAAAGACGAAAACATGGTGGCACCTTAAAGACTATATTTTATATATTTCAATTTGAGCTTTTGTGGACGAGTTTTAAAATACATAATAATCTTTAATAGTTAATATTTATATAATAGTCTTTAATAAAATAGTCTTTATATTTTAAGGTGCCACCACATATTTGTCCTTTTTAATTTGGGGTATTTTTTTTAAGAAAAAACTTTTATTTTGTTTTTACCTATAATGCTTGCACAGACTAACATGGCCACCTCTTCTATGTCACAGGGGTATGAGAAAGATTAAAAACACGCAGGTCCGCATTCAACGGAGTTTAACCTCTCAAAGTAAGCAGATCTGAAGAACCGGGGGAACTCTCCGTTTGAGCTTTTACCACTACAGAGTTTCTTTTTCAGGTTAGACCTCAAAAGAATGCCCCAGCCAACATGGCCAGTACAAAAAAAAACTACTTTTCCCCATTGCTGGTAGTGAGGACAACTTGGGATGAGAAGAAAGTTCACAAACTGCACAAACTTGACTTCTGCCCTCAAACTTTTCTTGGGGGAAAAAATCTCAGGTGGGTCAGCGGGTGGGGTAGTTTAAGAGCCAACAATACTCTTGTTGTTGTTTAGTTGTGTCCGACTCTTTGTGACCCCATGGACCAGAGCACGCCAGGCCCTCCTGTCTTCAAGAATACTCTTAGGCACTCCGTAAACCTATTTCACGAGCCCTCTCTTTATTCTATTACAACTGGAATGTTCATTTATGAGACGTTCATGTAACTCTGCAAACTGTGCACTTACTTCATGTCTTCCTAACCTTTACCTCCCCCTCAAGAACTAAGGAATCTGTTGCACACGATAAAATGCACTGACGAAGCCTCTCCCAGCGTTCTAGGCCCAGTAAACGTCTTTTTAGAAAAACCAAACTAGAAAAAATGATAAATTGCCTGAAATGCTGTTGATTAGCACAGCAAATCACAACTTGAGCAGGCCCACTGAATCCATGGGACTGGGAGAGGCACTGACTTACCCATACAGTGGGGTCTTGACTTAAGAACGGCCCGAGTTAAGAACATTTTGACTTAAGAACCACTCTCATAGGAAAATATTGACTTGACTTAAGTACTTAGATTTGAGTTAAGAACTGAAAAAAAACCCACGTGGGAGGCAGGGAAAGTGCAAAATGTGAACTTTCAGTTAACTGTTGGCCAGTGAAAAGGGTGCCTGTCTGCTTCCTCACTCCTCCGAGCGTTTAGAGAGTGGATTGGGAGACAGTCTTCGGACTGCCTGGTCCTGTCCTGCCCGGACTGTATTTTCTCTGCCTTCCCTGAACCTTTCCTGACCTAAGAAAAAAAGAAACAAAATATCCCCCTCTAGTGGTCAAAGGCGGAATAGCAGCTTCCCATTAGTTTCTATGGACGGAAAAGAGCAGATACGGATCAAATGGTTTTCAATGCATTCCTATGGGAAATGCAGATTTGACCTGAGAACTTTTTGACTTGAGAACCGCCTTCCAATACGGATTAAGTTCTCAAGTCAAGACCCCACTGTATCCCCATGGATTTCATAGGCCTACTCTAGTTGCCACTTACTGGGCTAAGGAACAGGATTTCGACCATTGATTATAGCCATTCCTGAGCTCCCCAGGAACGAATACAAAGGGCGCTACACCTTTTGAAATGCAGAATTTCCACATTTTTTTTTTTTTTACTCGCCAGTGATAACAAGAGGAACATTTTGATAGTCTGAAATCTTATCCGAGTCCTGCCCACATAATAATTTGGTTATCAGATACTTGCCACTTTGAAAAGATCATGAAGAATTTGTGAACCAGTGTCGATGCCAACGCATTTGGATACAACTGGCACGTCCTTGCCACCAGCATGGCCCAAGAGACGCCACCAAGGAACCCCAAGACGTTGGAATAAATGCCGCGTCCTAAAGGAAGACATTGGCCATTCAGATCTCGTCGACATTTGAAACCATGTCAAGTCAACTCGTTTTCTTTCCCATCCCTAAAGCAAGCAAATTAAGACTTTTCATTTTACCTTTTAAAGCACCTGAGGGCCAAAATACCTGTGGATAAAATCTTCAGTTAGTTATACATTAGAAGCTGCCATGCCAGAGATGTGACATCTGAGTGCTTCGCCTGTAGGACGTAAGTTACCACTTTGGGCAGAGGAAGGCAATTTAGAGTAGAATTTAGTAGAATAATTGAAAAAAACCTGAACCACCAACACTGATCTGTGCTCATGATCTGTCCCCCACCAAGGTGATTTAATCTGAACAATAGAATCATGAGCTCTAAACACAAATTTCCTTAATTTTGTATCAGCACTTCATAAACCCCACAATACAGATGCGAATATATTGACAAGAAATAGCAATCCTTTTTTTCTCCTTGAATGCAAGACATCTTCTGCCAGAATAGATGAGAGTTTGTGCATTTGCCAGAATGATTTTTGCACAAATGGTGCAAAATTTGCAAATGTTTGCAGGTGTTGTGCGAATTGTCCAGAATGACCATCGCTGCTGCTATTCTTGTTGCACAGATTTTTGAAAACCAGACACACTGGATCGACTGCTTTTGGTGTTTGGTCCTTCTGTGCTTTGAAGTGTATGACTCACTTCAGAAGAGGAAAACGTGCTGGTTTTGCACAGACCGTTTTGCACACGTTGGTGAAGTCTCAACAGCGAGAACAAAGGGATTCCTTGTCTTGTTCTCGCGTCAGAGGGGAGGAATCTTGTGGAAGTCTGTGGCAACTCAACAGGCTATTCCACCATACTGAGATGCTCTGTGATCTCAAGAGCAAATTATTGAGGACATTCTTAGCTCTCTGCCACTGTGAGCATCAACGTGAAACCAGAGCACCATCTGCTGAATAATGTGTCAACACACAACTGCACAGCTTCCCCTGTATTGCAGCAATTTCTATTTAATTCAGGCTTAACCGGTGAAAGATGCTTTTCTATTGAAACTGCTCCCTCTTGTGGCACCAGTTTTCTCGGTCTATCTATATACATCCATGCAGTACAAGTTACCTCTCTATCCTTAATCAGTTAATGCTTGAAAACGTCTCAAAAGGTAAGCATACCTGCAGGCTCCATACAGCTACCCTGCCCAGTGGATGATTAGCCATGATGGGCCAGGACTCCACTAAGTAACTTTCAGGAAATGAACTATCCTTCATATAATGTCTAGCATGCATTCTCTTGCTTTAAGGTATTTGCAACATAGCAACCATTACTTGGAAGCATGAGCCTAATATTAAGCTCAACTGATTTTTCTTGATGTTTGGAGCTTCAGGCCGTTGTAACAAGTGCATTTTGCCACCTGATGATAAACATCAACTGACTTCAGAGCGTCCTACCATCCCATCAGTCCAAAGATACAGTGGTGCCTCGCTTGACAATGTTAATTTGTTCCAGCGAAATCACTGTAGAGCAAAAACGTCGTCCAGCAAAATAAAAAAGCCCACTGAAACGCATTGAAAACTGTTCAATGTGTTCCAATGGGCTGAATACCTGCTCGTCCAGTGAAGATCTTCCATGGGGCGGCCATTTTCGGTGCCTGTATTGCGAAACATGCCTCCTAAAAACAGCAGGGAGCCATTTTGAGCAGCTGGCGGGCATTTTGAAAACCTGACGATCAGCTGTTTTGATTATCATAATGCGAAGAATTGGTTCCCGAAGCAGGGAACCGATCGTTGCAAAGCAAAAAAAAAACCCATTTAAACATCGTCGTGAAGCGGATTCATTGTTATACGGGGTAATCGTTAAGCGGGGCACAACTGTACTTATAAGCACAGTGAGCTGTCTAAAACAGCAATCTAAAGACACTCCAGCTCTTCTTCATTTAGAACTATCTGTTTATTGAACAGCCTATGAAAACTACCCAGAAGGCTCAGGTTAAGAGGCATCGAGGGGAAAAAAAACCCAAACCAGACCATTCTGTGTTTCTATGAATGTTGCAACTGGACTCTTCCTGGTCATCATCCAGAGCACCCGATATTCAGTGACATAGAGCCTCAGTCAAGGGTGATTCAGTTAGGTTCTGTCGCCAATATCCATCCATAAAAGCAATCCTCCACAAATTTCACAGATCTTTTTATAACTCAGCAGCCTGCTGTGTTATTGGGAATTCTGAAGGCACGCTTTTTGAAATTGCACATTTTATTAAAATAGGAACAACAGGGAAAGCTGGTGTTCCTACCTTAAGAGCATAACTTCTATAAAGATCTTTAAGGAGCCAAACTAAAGGAAAAGTCTTGCTTCCTGAACTCTGCAGGAACAGCGATGACAGTTCGTGTTCTGATTAGGGAATGAATAGTAGGTCCTGGATAACTCAGGTCTTTGCCTCGTCGTCCCTTCTAGGAAGTGGACTTGTCCACAAAGTTAAAAGGTTTCCCTTGACATTTAATCCAGTTGTGTCCGACTCTAGGGGGCGGTGCTCATCCCCGTTTCCAAGCCGTAGAGCTAGCGTTTGTCCGAAAAGTTTCCGTGGTCACGTGGCCAGCGTGACTAGACACGGAACACCGTTACCTTCCCACCGAGGTGGTCCCTATTTATCTACTCACATTTTTACATGCTTTTGAACGGCTAGGTTGGCAGGAGCTGGGACAAGTGATGGGAGCTCCCTCCGTCACGTAGATTCGATCTTACGACTGCTGGTCTTCTGACCTTGCAGCACAGAAACTTCTGCGGTTTAACCCACAGCGCTACCATGTCTGTCCACAAAAGCTCACATTAAAAATATAGCAGTTGGTCTTCAGGAGACCACCATGTTTTTGTTTTTTTTTATTTTTATTTTGCTTTTTGCCTGATATGCTATAGTAGGGACTAACACAGTTCCCTCTTAAATCTTCTAGGAAAGTACACTTTCAATACATGAGCCTTTGCTAACATCCTTCTTTTATCACCTCAAAATCTGGGCTTCGGGTCCAATTCTTTCAGAGTCAGGTGTTTTTTTTTAATAGTCTAAGAGGCATCTTCTTCTGTTTCCCCCTGCAGCTGTGCACCTATGTGTGAGCTCTGCCACCTTCGTCCGATTCGGTTGTGTCTCCTCTCTCTTGCATTCTTTGTTCCATAAATTCACGACGTGGCGTTCCAAACTTAAAAGGGTGAATTGTAACTTGGAGGAGGAAAACATCAAATGCCTACAGAATTGGTTGAGCATCGTTGGTTGCAGTTCTAGTCACTGAACCACAGACCGATTCCCCCCCCTCCTCAGTACGATGGGCGAGGCAGGGGGGGCTTGCTATTTTCAGACTCCTCCTTCTCACTTGGACACTTGAACTAGAATCTCTCTCCAGGGACCCTCCTTATAAACGCAATCCCACTCCCCAGGGGGTTCTACTTGTTATTCTGGGTGGGTTGTCCTCTGCCCAGGAGGATCTGGCTCATTCCTCTTAAGTGTCTCCCGCCCCCAAGGACCGGGGGTCCTCTTCTTCTCCTCTGAGCCCCCCCGCCAATGACTGTGCCTTGGCCTATTTTCCCGGGGGGCCTCTGGTTCCCACTCATGGGTTGCTTTGGTTTGGCAACCAGCCTGGACAATATTTGCTTCTGTGGCGTCTCTTCCTCTCCTGGCGTTCAGTCAACTTTTATAGCCACCATCCACCATGGGTAGATGGTTTCCCTCCTCTCCCCTAGGTCTGGTGCCCTGGTTCCATGGGGCGGGCATGGCTACCAGGACCTCAGTCTGGGTCCTACTCTCATGCAAGTGCCAGGTCTTTGGGGCTTCCTCTCGCTGGGTTGGCTGGTGTCAGAGTATGAGACCTCCACCAAGAGGAGCATCTATGTTCTTGTCCTCATCCCATAATATGTTTAAACTGTACACACCATTTTCCTAGTGTTTGCAGAGAAATCTGAGAAAGTTTGGAACATGGAAGGGGCTCAATGTGTTCACATGGAATGCGTGCGAAACACAAATTCTCTACTGCCTGGCCTGTACATTCCAGTCTTTTTTATACATCCAGCAGGAAAAGCAGATCCTTGCAGGGGTTTTTTTCTGCCACTATTAAACAGCATACGAACTTGCCGGATTGAATGGCCATTATGCAGATTCTGAGACAGCCTACATATGCCACAAACTCCCCTCTCGCTTCGTCTAAAGAGTCGTTTCAAGGACTATTAAGCATAGAGGCTGATAGTACGAAATCTGATGCCTTAAGTACTTACGTTTTGCCCACAGTTTAATTGCTCTGAGCGTCAGCCTGAAGTTCTCCTTGTTTGGTACTAAATGTAGGATCTCATCGGTGACTCTGCAACCTGCCGGCAAGCGTTAAGCCTTCGTGTTAAGAGAGAGGCAAAGACAGCGGACTATCGAGAGTCAGGGAGACAAAGGAAAGTCCTGGGGCAGAAATCTGGTTTTAACTTGGTTTGAGAAAGTCATCTTGCTAAACCTGGCTTGAGCGGATTCCCTTATGAATGGAGAAACAACAGACTTACGCAACCCACGCTATACTGGCTAGCAAGACACATCTGGGAAGAAGTTTTCCTTCTAGAGGAACTACTTTAGAGAGTGGCTTCTCAATGGGTCTTCAAGTGATTATCAAGAATTCTTGGCAGAAAAAAAATGACATTCTGTTGAATCTACCGTTTCTCTCCCAATTCTCTCTCCTACTATATTAAGTGCCTTTTTAAGAGTGCAGAATTTGTCAGTTTTCATTGGCTTGTAAGCCACTTTGGGAGCTTTATTTTATTTCATTTTTTTTAATTCCTGAGAAATGGCATATGAGGAATGTATTAACTGAAGCATCTTGCTACCCTATCAATACTGAGGACCACAGCACGGTGGGAAGATGTTTTTCAGTATCACTTACTGAGACAGTAATATGGTCATCTGCCTTGGAGGGCGTAATCTCTTGGCTGAAATCTTGTTGCTCAATGCAGTGCATTGAACTAGAGTAGGCCCACTGAATCAGTGGTGATTTGGTGAGTCAACAACTGTTACGTTCCACTGACTCAACTTGTTACACTAAGCAATAGACTTCCAGCCCTTGTATAGTGGAATGTGGCACTGATCTCCATTTGGAACGGACTCACTATCGTTCAGCATTCATCAGCAAAACTGGGACAAATTCTGACCCATCTCACAGAGTTGTAACAAATAAAGCATTTCCTCTGGTTACTTAATAATTCTTTGTTAGCAGCAGGTGCTATTTGTGTGTTATCAGTGATCTACCTGGCTCAGATGAATACAGTGGTGCCTTGCTTAACGACAATAATCCATTCTCTCACAGAGTTGTAACAAATAAAGCATTTCCTCTGGTTACTTAAAAATTCTTTGTTAGCAGCAGGTGCTATTTATTTGAGTGTTATCAGTGATTTACCTATCTTAGATGAATATGTGCTGCTAAATAATCACACATTTTTAAAAAGGTAAAGCAAGAATGGGCGTTTCGAGACAGAGCAAGCAAGCAAGCAAGAGAGCAACAGACAGAAAGAAATGCAGTCTAATGGGTAAAAACTCACCGTACAGCGAAGATCCTCCATACGGCGGCCATTTTTGCTGCCGGTATAGCGAGGAATCCGTCCCTTAACACAGCGGGGAGACATTGTAATTACCCGGTGGCCATTTTGAAACCGCCAATCAGCTGTTAGAAAAACATCATTTTGCGAAGAATCGGTTCCCAAAGCAGGGAACCGATCATCGCAAAGCAAAATCCCCCCATTTAGACCATCGTTTTGCAATTGCAAAGATTGTCGCAAAGCGGATTCGTCGTAATGCAGGGCAATCGTTAAGCGAGGCACCACTGTATGTGCTGCTAGATAATCACACATTTTTAAAAGGGTAAAGCACGGTGACTATCATCATTGCAAGAATAGGTATTTCCAGGCAGAGCAAGCAAGAGAGCAACAGACAGAAAGAATTCTGTGACTGACACATGGTGATTTCATACTAAAACCTTCCTCTGGAAGAACTTTTATTTTCAGAGGGCCAAAATTCTTGCAGTCCCTTTGGGGCACTAAACTCTGTTTCTTATTTAGCAACACACATCTAATTTCCAACTACTTGAGCAACGGTGTTCAATCACCATTCTCAGGCTTCTACAGAGATAAGGGGTTACCATTTAAGCTCCGGATACATCTTATATCGAGGCTTCTCAAACTGGAGTCATCCCGAAGATCCAGGTTATCAGAAATGGTGGCTCTCGCCAGCCTTGCAAACACAAGATCAATCTAAAGAGGCGAGAAAGAAAAGTAATTGCAACAGATATCCTCTAACAACTTGTACTTCTCATTCTGAGACTCACTTCCACAAATACTGGTACATCTGCGGATTCTTTGTGAACCTTGATAGGACTGCTGGATAGCTCAGTGGTTTAGACATCTGACTGTGAAGCCAGAGGTTGGGTGTTCGATTCCTCACTGTGCCTCCTTGACAGGGGCTGGACTCTAAGATGGTGATGATGATCTGCCCCTAATTCATTGACTAAACTCTTGTTGATTAGCATAGTAAACTGCTCTAGAATAAGCCCACTAAATGAACGGCAATTTAATGAGTCAACACCTCTATAAGTTCTATTGATTCAAATAGGCCTACTCTAGTTGCGATTTACTTTATTATAGTAAGTCTCTGTTAGAGTTAGGTCCATTGAATCAGAGGAGTTGACTCACCCAATTCCCACCAATTCATGTAGTCTAGTGAAGTTTACTATATTAGGCAACAGGATTTTGGCCAGTGTCATACAAATATGACACACCAAGGCGATGAAAGATCATCCTGCAAGGTGCTCAATATAGATGAAATGTTTCTTCTTACCCACAAGGAAAAGGTGTCTGAAGAGCACAGAACAGGGAGACAGTTGTGACATTTTTAATTCAGAGAAAAATGTTACGACACCAGAGAGCCACACAGCCACTTAGGGTCAGAAAGACTGAGACAAGTCAAGTACTAATTTAATGGCCAGAGAATAGCATAAAGATACCTACTGTCATAAATGCACACGGGCGCTCAAGTGAAGCCTTCAACATCAGAACAACATTTTTCCATTTGATATGATGCTGAGAGCTTTGCTATTCATATGTTTCCTAGAACTATCAAGGGCAACTGGCAGAAATGCAGTTCAGGACAGCTAGACAAAACATAAAATGCCCCACGGCCTTTCAGATGACTCTTCCCCCCCCCCAAGTAGTCATAGCCATTGGGGCAAAAATAAATAAAGGGGGGGCTGGGAGGTTAACCCTCCCCCTCACTGTGGTTCGAAAGTTAGTATTTCCCTGAAAAAGGCCTGCGTTGATGTCCACACCATTCATATGCTGCCATTTTAAAAATAAAAAATACATGAATTTCTTTCCACAGATCATGTATTATCTCCTTGGGCTTACTACTAACACCAGCACAAACTTATTCTGTTAAAAAAAACCGAATAAGTCATTTGAAATAATTACCTCAATACCATCAAATTCAAATTTGATTACTGGCACATATGCATCTTCTACTGCCTGCAGGCAAGACAGAAAAAAGTTACTGATGAAAATCTGGTTTTGTCTGATAAATTTTGGGATGCAGATCAGATTACATTCTGATGCTGGATGTTGCCATTTCTGTAAGGGAAACTCAAATCATGTCGCCATTTCTTGAAAAACAAGTCATCTGTATAAATCCGAGTAAAACCTAAGGCGTGTATGTATTAATGTTTTACTTCTAAAGGACTTAATTTGCGTCCAACCTATCTGAAAGACATATACCAGTTGGAGAAAGCTGATTCAGTTACTGGCCATGACCTAACAATATGTGGCAATTAAGTCCACACAAAATATAAAATTCAGCACTCATATCAGATCACTTCTCAGTACCTCATCTCCTTCCAAGGTTCAGTTGGTGGCCATCACCTAACAATATGAGGCAATTAAGTCCTCGTGGCGCAGTGGTTAAAACGCTGTACTGCAGCTAAAACTGTGCACACGACCTGGGGTTCAAATCCCAGGGAGCCGGCTCAAGGTTGACTCAGCATTCCATC